GCCAAGGTCATAATTCCCAGCTGCAGATCCTTCTTTGTTTTCAACTTTCACAATCCAATTTTGAGTAATTATCAGTACATTTCGAATACATGCTCAACCACAAATTTCAGAAATTCGTTGAGAACCTCAGTTTCTTCACCTTGGTACTTGTGGTTGATGTGTAAATTTGATGAATAGTCATATTAACTTGTCCCTACAGGTTTGTGGATATTATAACTGACAGTGTTGTACTTCAGGAGAGATGGTGAAATGTTCTTTTTGAGAACAAATGCTTTTGTCATTGCCAGCATGATAGGCCATTAACTTGTCCAGTTCAGAATGGGCAAACCAGTACACGCTGGCTCCCTGTTATCCTAGGGTATTGCTCTTATACTCTGTACATTCTACTTTCTGATGCTTAATGTTTGCTTGCAGCTGTTTGTCCTCATTTTGAGTCATGCCTCATCAGCAAACGCAGGTCTCGAAAGCTGTGTTCTTTTCATGTCTTTAATGTCAGCTCTACTCTGAGGAGGCAGCTCTTCCCCAGTTTTACTTTGAGTGCCTTCCCACCCGAAGCATACATTTCCTTGCACTCTGTCAGACAGTGTTCCACCGGTACTCACAATGCCATCGCCAGTCACTCTTCTACCAGTAGGGCCTTTGTCCTGGTCTTTTTACCGTCTTTGAAAGTAGACCCATTATTCTCCGTAAAAGGTATGTGTAAACCATTTGTGTACGACGAAGTTATAGAATCAGAATTTGGCAATTAAAAAAAATTTTTTTTTACCGGAATTTGGCAATGATAAAAGTAAAGGAGGGAACCTAATAAAAGTGTAATAGGTCAGATGTTGGGCTGTTTCCCAGTCGGTCAGTGGTTCAAACCCATCATCTGGTCTTTAGAGAGTTCAGTGTGTACGCTCCCATAAGATCTGCAGTCTCAAAAAACTTGAGGAAGAGTTCTACAGTGTTCTTTAGGGCCAGGATGAGTCAGTTACTCTAATTCATTTATATTGGACCAACTTTTATGCTGGTCTTCCATAATCCATTTGTAGCCTATGAACAAAGTTATTTCTTAAAATTAAATTGCTTAATTCCAAAGGTATAATTGAGTAACATTGCTGAATCTTTTAAAGCAAGTTAGGGTTGTTGTTGTTTTTCAACCTTTTCAAGTATACTTTGATAAACTTAACTTACTAGGCAAGGGCAATTTAATTCAAGTAATGGTTTTCGTAATCTGACTTCTTTTGACATCCTAAGACAGTTGCTCAGCAGTATTTGTATCTTTCAAAATATCCTTATGAATAAACAAAACATTTGAAGTTTTCTAGGCAGGTGAAGATCGCCCAAATGAGAAGCCAGGTCAGCTAACTCACAGCCTACTGTGCCCCACGCTCCTGCCCCTTGATTAACCATCACCCATAGTGATGCCCTATAGAATAAGGGGAAGAGATGAAAAATGTCCTCATGAAAACACTTTTTCAGAAGTTTTTATATGTATGTACTCAAGTTATGCCAGGATATTTTATTTTGAATGAATGATGTTTTAGTGTCCTTCAACTTACTTTGTGTATCACGGAACAAAACATTGCCTGCTCCTGTGACCACCTTCACGATCATTGGTTTGGTTGGGTCGACTGATAATAGTATTATTATTTCACCATCCATCTGCCGCTTGTGGTATTGGGGTGTTTGGCTTTCAGAACTCTAGATTAAGACAGACCAAGCAGCTTGGTTTATTTGTGAAAATTGGGTGGTGAAACCATATGGGTCAAGCAGAATTTTGCAGTTGTTTGATACAGTGCTAGGTGATAAGCTCTCAGCTGGAAGACACTCCATATACACCACACCATGGCTGCAGTGTTGGCCTTGAGGATGTCATCAGTTCTGAAGAGGGATTAGCACCAGGATATACTCCATTCTGTTTAACTTGAAACCACTGAAGTGAAACATTAAAAAAATGTTAATCTTTCTGTTTTTTTGTTTCAGGTAGATAATCCTGTTTCTGTTTTAACACAAGAGATGAGCAAGCAGTTCTTACAGTGTAAGGGTGAAGGCGACAAATATAAAGTAAGGTGTCAAAAAAGAATACACTTGTAGATTAAACATAAACACTAACACTAACTCTTGTTCACATAATAGATACTGTAATTCTGTCCCCCACCTCCCAACCAACCCCTTATGTAAAACAGTATAACAGCATAAATTAGGAAATTATTAAGTTAATTAGAGGTATAATTAATTTTCTTTGTTAATCCATTTCACTTAATGGGAGTAGTTTTCTAAATTAATCTTTAAGGAAACAAGGGAATCATCATGATATGTACTGGGTTTTGATATTTTCTATTCTGAAAGCTAAAGATGAACTGTGATCAAACATTCAAATGTTACCATTTTTACCAAGAGAATGAAACTGTCAGTGAAGGTAAAAGAAAAAAGAAAGTAACCCTTCTGAAGCACTTTTACAATGAACGTGTAGATGTGTAGACAGCAGATGAAGTAAACCAGCTTTGCTTCTGAAGTAAGAACTGCTCTTTGGTGAATATTGTGTATATTGTACCAGCTAAAGAGCCCTGGTGGCATAGCGATTATGAGTTGGGCTATGGGGCTGTGATTGCAAGGTCAGCAGTTTGAAGTGACTAGTGGCTCAGTGACTGGGTTTGGTCTGGTACCAGCTTAAGCTTGCTTTTAGCAGCTTTTTACCTAATTAGTCTACGGTTACTTTTTAAGGGTCAAGTTCCTTTTTCCCAGTTCCATGCAAGTTTACAAACTCTTGAATGTTTTTATTATTGATGTAGTTCTTCATGAAAGCTACCCAACTTGAACAGATGAAGGAAGATTACACATATATTATGGAAACAAAAGAAAGAACAAAGGAGCAGATAAATCAGGGAGAAGAGGTTTGTAAATAATGTTATTTTTTAGGTTAACTAAATTCTTGTAGTATTCAGGGAAATTGTAGTGTAAAGTTATATAGATATGTGCATTAGTTTATGTGTATTGCGCCACCTATATGTAAGCCAGTATTTTCTGTGTTTTCAGTGTTTATTGTATTAGTCTTTTTTTGTTTCATGGTAGTGGCTATTGGATCATACATGCACAAGAGATAGGAAGGATCTTACAACTATTGGATCTTTCAGTAATTTCTTAATTTACACATTAGAACTAGAATTATAGTGACAATTGACCCAAGACAAATTGATTAGCTGCTACATTGACCTTTTTACAAATTTTGATGAATGTGAATTGTAAAATTAGGTTTGTAGGTGTGTGTGATTTACTAAGTGAAAACGTAGAAAGCAAGGATGAGAGTATTGTTCTTCCTGCATTCATCTGTGAAAAGCTTACCTAGGAGGAGAGGACAGTGAGCCCAGTTCTGATCCTTAAGGATGATCATGGAAACCAAGAGAAGAGAGCATGAAAAGGAAGTGGATACAACCAACCCTCAGCACTACTAAGAGGTCAACCATCACAGGGGATGAAAAACACTAACTAAATTTAGTAACATAATCTTGAAAAACAACTGTACCAAGACTGCTGCTGTTGTGCTGAACACAAAAGCCAGACAGATATATGGCACTGAGAAATCATTAGGGAAAGGAGGAGATAGAGATAATTTTCAAGAAACTTGGGTGGAAGGTAAACACTAGAGTTGAAAATGATGTTGGGTGGTATTTATTTCTGTAAGTTGGAAATATATACTACAAGTAAAGATATAAGCATGATAATAGAAGGGAGTTAGTGAAGAGTGCAAAGGAGAAAATACTAGTTGAAAGATGAGATGAAAATCAACGAGTTTAGACACACTGACAAGATGGGGTTTAAGGTCTGGAATACAGGTAGGGTGCTAATGAGTCGGAATTGAATCGATGGCGGTGAGTTTGGTTCTTGAGTTTTGGTAGGAAAAAGATGAGGCTTTCTACTCACATAAAGAGTTATCTGTATTGGTAACCGACTGGGGCAGGTCTATTCTGTGCTAAAGGGCGAGCTATGAGTCATAATCAATTTGATGTACGTGAGTTTAGTTTTGGCTTGGGGCCACCTTACATGCTGTGACAAGAGGGAGAGAAGACTGCCATACATCTGGATACTGTTGGTAGTTGGAGGGAGGTGTTTCTTTCTGATGACTTCTAAATTCTTTGAAGTTAGAAGCAGGAACAACCAGTGCGAGAAGAGGCTGAACGGATGGAGGAGGTTTGAACACAGTGGTCATAGGTTGAAATAATCCTGGAGTATGAGGAAGTGGATTGTTCTTGGAAGCACAGTATGATCTGCAGTGTTAAGCTGATGTTGGATATGTGGTGGTAGTTAGGTGCTGTAGTGACCTTATGTACAACAGAACAAAACATTGCCTGGCCCTACGGCATCCTCGCAGTCTGCTCTGAGCCCATCGTCACAGCAGCTGTGCCAATCCATTTCATTGAAGGCCTTCCTCTTGTTCACTGACCCTCTGCTTGCCCATAGTTGAATACAATAGCTTGAAGGAAGAGGATAGGCTATCTACCAGATGTGCAGAACATGCAGTCAAAGAGCCAATTCAGAAGCTATCCTAATATTGGTAATAACAGTTTAGTGATCGAGAGCACTTAAACCGTATCTCCCTTTTGGAATGGCTGGTAAGTACGCATTATCAGGACTAACAGATATGTTTGCCTATCACAGGGCATCTGCACACTTTTGAATGGAAGAGTTAATCCATTCCTTCACAACAACTTAGACATTATTTGAGAGCCATACATATATTTTTATAAACAAATGAAATCACAATTATCTGGATGCTAGTCTTTAAAATGTTTCGGTTTTACTTCAGAGTCACACATATGTACCAAAAGAGCCGAATGTGGCTCATGAGCCACAGTGCGCCAAATCCTGAGCTCTCAGATAAATCAAGAGAGAAAATGGGAAACTGGGTTTTGGGATTTGTCTGCAATTGTGTACTCTTATATCTGATTTTGATCTTTTTGTTAGAAGAATGCTTGTCCAATTTTATAATGCAGAAATTAGCCAAATTATTGCATCCAGTTAGGTAAAAATAAAGAACCAAAACTATCAAATCAATAGAAAGAAGGTCGTAGGATGCCTAATGGGACTCAATCAAGGGCAATGTAGCAGCAAGGTATTACTAAACCTGAATGAAGGCCGAACATGATGGTGGGGCAAGAGGAAAGTAAAAAGGAAATCCAGGAAAAGAACCAGGAGGCAAAGGGCATTTATAGAGGCCTAAATATAGGCATGTTCATATGTAACTATATATATAATGTACTCCTATCTATATGTTAAGAATTAAGGTTGCAGATGGACATTGGGCCTCAACTCAAGTTAGCACAAGAACACTTTGTTCTAACAATCCGGCCTTCTGTGATGCTCACATCCTCGACAAGATCACTGAAGACAAAATGGGTGCATAAGCAAATGTGGTGAAGAAAGCTGATGGTGCCTGCCTATCAAAAGATACAGCATTCGGGGGTCTTAAAGGCTTGAAGATAAACAAGCAGCCATCTAACTCAGAAGCAACAAAGCCCACATGGAAGAAGCATACCAGCCTGTGTGATCATGAGGTGTTGATGGGATCAGGTTATCAGGCATCTAAGACCCAGAACAAAACCATTCCCAAGGTGAATAGGGAGCGGGGCATGGAGTAGAGACCCAATACCCATCTGTAGACAGTTGGACATTCCCTCACAGAGGGGTCACAGGGAAGAGATGAGCCAGTCAGGGTACAGTATAGCACCAATGAAACACAACTTTCCTCTAACTCTTTGGTGCTTCCTTCACCCCACTATCATGACCTCCATTTTGCCTTACAAATCAGGTTAGACCATGCACACTGCTACAGATAAGAGCTCGCAACACAGGCAATCCAGGATCGATAAACCCCTCAGGGACAACAAGGAGCGTAGAGATACCAGGAGGATTAGGGGAGGGTGGGGGAGAAAGGGGGAATCCAATCTACCTAGAACCCCTTCCTAGGGAGACAAATAATGGAAAAGTGGGTGAGGGGCAATGGAGGATGATGTAAGGTATGGAACAAATAATCTATAACTTATCAAAGTTTCATGAGGGAGGGTGGACGGGGGAGGGGTGTAGAAATAGGGGAGCAGATAGCAGGGGCTCAGGTGGGAAGAGAATGCTTTGAACGTGATGGCAGAATATGTGCAAATGTGCTTGACATATTGGAGAAATGTGGATTGTGATAAGAGATGTAAGAGCTCCCAATAAAAGTATTTAAAAAATAACCCAAACTATCTTTATTTTTGCATTAAGAAGTCATTTCCAAACCAGTGTTTTTGTAGTGCTTGTTCAGGCATGAATTTCAAAAGGAATTTATTTGCCAAAATGATATTTCAAAGATCATGAGAAATATATCCTTGTTTTCTTTTTTCAAGCGACTTATTGAACTGAAGCGTCAGTGTTTGGAGAAAGAGGAACGTTTTCAAAGTATTGCTGGCTTAAGCACAATGAAAACTAAATTGGAATTCTTGAAACATGAAATGGCTTGGGCAGTGGTAATTTTTACTTAATTACTTGTCCCACCTATATTTGTAGAAATAGAATCGATTTGGTTACAGTTCGTCTTCTAAATGCTTTGTTCTGTAATTTCTTTTTAGGTCAACGAAATTGAAAAACAATTGAATGCCATTAGAGATAATATCGAACTTGGAGAAGAACGTGCTGCCAAACTTGGCAGGAAAACGGAAGAACAGCAAGTACTGGCAACCTGTTTCATTGTGTTCTTGGGCCGAATCCTAACTGCTTCTTTAGATGATTTTAACCTGTAAAGGTGGTCATTTGGCTCCGTGTTTGCCAATATTTGCTACCCCAGTGACACAGACCTATACTTTTTTCTTCTTTTTTAAATCATTTTCTTCTTTTTTAAGTCATTTTATTGGGAGCTCGTACAGCTCTTATCACAATCCATCCATTCATCCATTGTGTCAAGCGCATTTGTACATGTGTTGCCATCATCATTTCAAAACTCTTTCTTTCTACTTGACCCCTTGGTATCAGCTCATTCCCTCCCTACCCCCCCCCTTCATGAACCCCTAATAGTTTAAAATTTTTTTTCATGTCTTATACCGACCTTCATCCCTCCATCCATTTTTCTGTTTGTCCCCTTTGGGAGGGGAGGGGGAGTTTATATGTAGATCATTGTGATCGGTTCCCCCCTTTTTCCCCCCACCTTCCCCTTCCCCTCCTGGTATTGCTAATCTCATTATTGGTCCTGAGGGGTTTATCTGTCCTGGATTCCTTGTGTTTTGAGCTCTTGTCTGTAGCAGTATACATTCTCTGCTCTATCCGGATTTGTAAGGTAGAATTAGGGTCATGATAGAGGAAAGAGGGGTGTCTGACTGGCGTGTCTCTTCCTTGTGACCCTTCTGTAAGGGGATGTCCAGTTGTCTACTGATGGGCTTTGGGTCTCCACTTTGCCCTCCCCCCTCATTCACATCGACATGATTTTTGTTCTGGGTCTTTGATACCTGATATAACCTGATCCCTTCGACACCTCGTGGCCACACAGGCTGGTGTGCTTCTTCCATGTGGGCTTTGTTGCTTCTGAGCTAGGTGGCTGCTTGTTTATCTTCAAGCCTTTAAGACCCTAGATGCTATATCTTTTAATAGCGGCCACCATCGGCTTTCTTCACCAGGTTTGCTTATACACCCATTTTGTCTTCAGTGATCGTGTCTGGAAGGTGAGCATCACAGCATGATGGGTTAGTGGAACAAAGTGTTCTTGGGTTGAGGGAGTACATGAGTAGAGACCCAATGTCCATCTGCTACTTTAATACTTAGACCTAAACTTTGCCCAAGGACTGTCTTTCCTTTGTTTTAGAAAAGCTGTACTTCGGTATGAGCAGCTGGTCTGCAGCTCAGCATGTCAAACTCATAAAATTCATGCCTCTGTGGGCAATGGCTCTCTATGACCTACCAGCGTTACCCAACGAAGCTTTCCCTTTGGGCCGCACTAAGCTGAGATACAAAGTAACCTCAGAGAAAAGGGTGCTAGAACAGGTAAAATAGCATCAAAGACAACAATTGCAACTGGAAAACTATCCCCCGAAAATTGCTAATAGAACTTTAAAGGAATGGAGGTTTGGGGTCCAGAACCACAGTTGCTTGGCCGAGGATTTGCTGTAGGTAGAATACGTGTAAGATAATTTTAGGCTGCTTTCAACCTGAGATCTAAGAGCTGGTGTTGAAGCGACTCTACTTGTATTCTACTTTCCCTTTAGGTAGTAAAGAAGTGTAGCGGCTCCCACCTCCTTCACTTTAAATCGTTAATTCTGAGGGAAAATTCTGAAATGCTTGCCATGTATTTTTCTCTTCTCTGCATCACTTAGTTTGTCCTCGGGAAGGCCTTATGTTGCTTTGCTCCTTGGATATTTCCAGTGTAAAATTGGGATAGGTGTTCGCCTTTTTCTCCAGTGGGAAAAGGAGGGTCTTGAGTCTAGTTGAGAGTCCTGTAGGACTGTTCCACTAAGTATTCAGACAGTCTGGGCAGTATGTTTCTACAGGGTAAGGATCTTAACGTTGACATCCTTTCTGCCATGTCTTTCATAAAACCTTATGTGCAGTGTATGTTTGATCATCATTACTTATAGAATGACAATTGAATGGAAGGTTCCTGAAGAAATAGTATCTAAAGCAGATTTTAAACTTGTTGACCTAATTTAAAACTGAAAATAGGATTTTGTTTAGTTTTAACACTCAACCAACCTTTTTATAAAAGACAACTTAATTTCAATGCTAGAGCCTTCATTACTACTTTGTGTAATATTGTCTAAATGCCCTGCTTCTTGGCACCTCCTGATTCCATACCTCCTATCCAGACTTTTGTGCTCAACACTTAACCCAGAGCTCTGTCTTCCCATCTCTATGTACATTTCCCAGACCCTTAAACTTAGCATGTCTGACTTGGAGTCTGTTCTTGGCTTTGTACTGAGACCTTTGGTGCATGGCATTGCTGTCTACTCCACTGCCTGATCCAGAAACCACGAGGGGAGTTACCGTAGTGCCTAGTGATCTCTCTTTCTTTCCCCTTTTGCCTCTTCTTCTCTTCTCCCCTTCCTCTTATTCGCTGTATCCGCTCCATCATTAAAGGCACTGAAATGCGGGTGGGTGAAATGTGGCCTGCCACCAGCTTTCTTCATGGTGTCCTTGGGACACAGCCATGCTTGTTTGTCCATGTCTTGTCCCTGGCTGATTGTTGCTTCGAATGGCAGAGTTTAGTAATTGTGAAGAACACAGCCCACAAAGCTGAAAACATATACTGTTTGGCTCTTCACAGAAAATTTTCTGACTTCTGCTCTAAATAGTTCTCTGATTTGTCCCTTACCTCTATTGCTAGTGCCCCATTTTGACCTCTGTTGAATTTTGCTCTACAATAGGAACTTCTTAACAGAATCTCTTCTTTAAAGATTTCCCTTCAACTATGCCTCCCAGACATTCCAGAGTCTTGCTTCACCTTAGAGCAGTGGTGCTCAACCTTCCTAATGCTGCGACCCTTTAGTACAGTTCCTCATGTTATGGTGACCCCGCAAGCATAAGATTATTTTCGCTGCTGCTTCATAACTGTAATTTTGCTATTATGAATTGGGCGACCCCCAAAAGGGTTGTGACCCACAGGTTGAGAACTGCTTCCCTAGAGTTTAGAGGTATATTAACAACTTCAAAGCCCTCCACCCCTCACCATTATTTAAGCAGTTCCCTTACCAGTTTGTATGTCTGTTTCTCTGTGGATTGTGACATTCTTATGTTTTATAAGGATAGCAGTTACTGTATATTTTGTCTCAGAAGATACACTTTTGTCTCAGAAGATAGTACACTTGTAGAATAAAATGTTCAGAACCACCAGACTGCTTTGGGGAAGAGAGAGGAGGCTTTTGACTCTCATAAAGAGCTGAAGTCTCAGAAGCCCACAAGAGCAGTTCTGCCCTGGCCTTTATAGATTTCCTATGAAAACATCATTGACTCGAGGGCAATGAGATTTTTTTGAGAAACAATAAATTATATTATGGTGCTTTATATAATTATGTTTGCTTACCTAATGACTTGTGTTTGTTTAGTTAAAAATTAAATTTGTAAGTGCTATATGAACTATATGTAATTATTTTTTAGGGGTTGTCTGTTTATTGACAGAAACTAAACTGTACTGCAAAAGTGTTACTCTTTCCTTAAAGGTCAGACTCAATGAAGCAGAGAGAAAGTACAAGGAAATTCAAGATAAATTGGAAAAGATAAGTGAAGAGACCAATGCACGAGCACCAGAATGTTTGACATTGAAAGCAGATCTCACAGCTAAAAAAAGAGCCTATAATGAAGCTGAGGTGAGAGCAGAATTTAACTGAAATATTACATAAATTTTATGTCAAGTGTAAATATGGTTCCTTTGTTTTCATAAGCAGGGATTCTGTTACTGGCTTAAAATACAAGTTACTTTCAGTCTTATAAAAATGTAATGGCTTCACATGCTGTTTCTATACTTAATATATGTTTGAAAAATAGATTTTTGCATCTATTCGACCTTTAGTTTGGAAGGTTTGGCAAAAGGACCCAACTGGTCTATTTGGTTTCTTATTTCGCTAGGTTTTGTATAACCGATCCCTAAATGAGTATAAAGCATTAAAGAAGGATGATGAGCAGCTTCGTAAAAGAATTGAAGAACTTAAAAGAAGGTACATTAGTTATTTCTCAATATTCATAATTACATTATTTTGCAGTAAAGTAATCTACACAAAATAGAGTATTTTCCATAATGTTGCTGAAGAATTTTCTCATGCTTGTTTACATATGAATTTTTAAAAATATTAGTGTTTTTCATGTAACATCTTCTATTTTGGATTATTTGCTGATAGCACTGACCAGTCTTTGGAACCTGAGCGGTTGGAAAGACAAAAAAAAATAAAGTGGTTAAAAGATAAAGTAAAGACCTTCCAAGATCAAAAAGTTTCTATTACTCAAGAGATTGAACAATTTCAGCAAGCCGTAGACAAGGACAAAGAAGAACGGGACAGGATTAGGTAAGCACAGCTTCCCTAGAGCCATCTTCTGAATTGCATGAGCATCATGCAGTTTTGCTCTTTTAAATAAGTATAGAAAACATTGTGTTCCCTTTTTTCTATGTAATAAGGTACCTTTTAAAAACCTCACTTTTCCAAGATTCTTCTTAAACTTGTGGAATTGGCCAGTAGAATTTCCTTGTTCATTATTATTGTAGCTCTTTTTCAAGGCAGATTATTGAGATTTATTCTCATAGCACAGTTCTTGAATGAAAACTTCTGCTTTTAGTTCTGGGTAGCTGGGTAGCTCATTGATATCAAGGTGGTATAGGCAATGCTGCCCTGTTTTTTATTTAATTGTATCCTGTAACGTTTTTTACTGTATTTTTTAGGGGAGAAGAACAAGAAGTCAGGCATCTGCTGACCTATAACCAGAGGCAACTGAAAGAACTGAAAGACAGTAAAAACAATCGGCTAAAAAGATTTGGTCCTCATGTTCCAGCTCTTCTGGAAGCCATCGATGATACTTATAAACGAGGGCATTTTACTCACAAGCCTGTGGGCCCTTTAGGTAATTGTCCTGTGTACTGAGGGTATAGTAAGCAGCAACTTAGCTTTTCATTTCGTGAAAGTTTACTGAATCTAGTTCTTCAGTTTTATTATACGTTAGCTAGTAGTATGCAGACTTCAATTTTACATGTTTTAATGATAAAATCATCTTAAACTTTGTGGTGTTCCTTTTGTATTTGTAAAGCATTAAATAACCATAACAAAGAAAAGCGAGAAGAAAATAATTATAGAGTGGAACACTTGTTCCGGCTTTTCGTAGGTGTTCAAGAATGAGCGCATTGAAATACAAGTGATCAGTCGGAAAAGCCATAGGCTGTTCTCCGCAGAACGGTAACCTGGCTTTCCTTTCTCAGCGCTCACATGGGATGTTCTGGTTCCGTAGGCCCCTTCTAATTGTAAGAATGTTTTTAATCAAGAAGTGATCTCCTGGCAAGTATTTCTAATTCTATACATTGTTAGCTGGAAATTATAAGTAGAGACATATTTTGTAACTATTGTGTTTTAGGGATCTAAGAAGTTCTCCCCGTTTAAAGGAGAAATAATGATTACATTAACACTCCAATATAAATATTTATGAACCTTAGCACAATTGTTCCCTCACTTAGGAGCGTGTATTCACCTTCGTGACCCTGAGCTTGCTTTAGCAATTGAATCCTGCTTAAAAGGACTTCTGCAGGCGTTCTGTTGCCATAATCATGCTGACGAGCGAATACTTCAGGCACTGATGAAACGGTTCTATGCCCCAGGAACCACCAGGCCGCAAATCATCGTTTCTGAGTTTCGGAGTGAGATGCATGACGTAAGGAACAGGTGAGCTTTCAGTCATTTATTTAATACTGTGTGGGGCTTCCTATATCACACCAGGGTCAGCTGGAACTAGAGCATTCTGTAGTGTAATCATTGCCATCCTACTGATTGGGAACCTTTCATCAAGCCGCTTCTTTAGGTTCCATTTAGGCAGTAGTTCGAGGCAACGGCAATACATATGTAAATAAGGTATGGATACTTCTGGGAGCCCTGGTGAGCTAGTGGGTTACGAGATGGACTGCTAACCACACAGGGTCAGCAGCTGCTCTGTGGCAGGAAGGCGTCTACTCCCTTCAGGGACTTACAGTCTGTGAAACCCACAGAGACAGTTCTGCTTTGCCCAATAAGCTGGCCATGAGTTGGCATTGACTTGATGGCAGTGAGTTTGGCTTTGGAGTTTTGAGATACAGCCCATGTCAGGAGACAATATAGGTAAACAGAGTCCATCTCTGAAGGTACGTTACAAAGGGAGATGCTACAGACTTAGCCAAATGAAGATGGAAGTCCTAAGGAAAAACATTGGCATTCCTTACTGAGACATAGCCTGTCTGCATTTAAACTCTCAAGGTGATTCACAGAATCCATGCAGAGCCGAACTTGATTTTTTTGATGACCCTCAAGGGCACACTGTACAGATTCTGGCCTCATGGCTTGTTAGTTGCTGACTGATCATCATGCTTTAAAGGAACAAAACAAAAACCATGCATGTGTGTGTGTGCGTGTTACAAGGGGGCTTCAAAGTATGTGAATGGAATTTTTCATGAAATTTTTGACGCCCCTATGTACATAATGCATACCAGTCGCCCTGTTTCCAGGTGATGTGTTTACATTTCCCCTATTCTGTCTCCAGTTGTAAAAATTAATCCCATTTTTTTGCTTTTGTTTATTGATCAGCGTAATGCTGTGTTCCTCATATTTCAGTAAATTTGTGTGCAAACACTAATTGTCTCTAATTTATTTGACAGCGTTCATAAAATTTGAGATATAACACGCTGATGTAGTCCAGAGTAATCTTTGTAGGTAGATCAGGAAATGATTCAGAGAAGAGGTGATGAATTCTAATTTATGAGTTTGCAAAGAGGGGGAACTAATTGTTTTCTAGACAAATGAATTCTGTGAAAAGCAGGGAAGCATAACATAGTAAGTCATTATGCCAAAAATAACATCTGTGTTGTTGATGGTAAGGGATAGATAAAGGACATGTTTAGAACAAAATCAATAAAGCTTGTTAGTTGAACGTTTAAGTAAGAGAATTGGGAGTTAGGGTGACAGTGAAGTTTCTGACTGGCATCACTGGTGAAGGAGATGTAGGGAGTTGACTCGCAAAAGCTAAGGAACCTGGGGGTGCAGCGGCTTGAGCATTGCCCTGGCTAACTGGAACGTTGGCAGTTTGAACTGTAGCAGACAGAGAAAACTAACTGTAAGTTTCATTTCTGAAAACCCCTGGGGCAATTGTACTCTGTCCTGTAGAGTCACTCTTGAGTCTGAATCAGTTCAGTGGGTTAGTGTGAGTAGAAGGTAAAAAAGTAGGTTGTTGAAAATTATGTTAAAAGTCTCATTTCAGAATTGTTGATTTTGAGCTTTAAGACTAGAGATACGTATTTAGGAGTTGTAGGTAAATTGGGGATCCTATTTGATTGCTGGCTCTGCGCACATAAATAACGTGAAATTTCAACTATAAACGTGAAATTTCAACTATATTGCTAATGAAAGACTGACCGTAACTCTTGTTAGGTTAGTTGCAAGAAGTCTTAGAGGAGTGTGGTTAAAGCTTTTGGCTGCTAACTGAAAAAACAGTAGTCTAAAGCCTCCCCTCCATGGGAGAAAATACTGTTTTTGCTTCCATAAGGATTTAAACCCTTGGAAACCCTTTGGAAGAGGTCTACCCTACAGGGTTGCTGGGAGTCGGAATTCATCTGAGAGCAATGAGTGAATTATTGCTTGTGCACTTGAAGATCTCGTGATAATACAGTAGGATGCCAGTGTGGTGACTCTTTTAATTGGGCATTGCCTTTGTGGGAACCTTCAGTTATTCCGGTGAAGGCAGGAGAGAGGGGTATAGACGGCCTCTGGTGAGGAGTATCTTCCTTATTTCTGCTCCATTTCTTAGGGACCAAGCATAGTAATTCCTGACTAGCCATTTGGACTGTTGCCTAAATAGCTTTCACGGAACCCTTACAAATGAGTGGGGCTTGGTACTGTCTAACATGCTGAATGTCCTGTTTGTATTTCTAGACACTTGGAAATATATCCTAGATGAAATATAGGGTATTGTGAGAGTCTAGAAGTTTAGTAGTGCCTAAGAAAAAGATACTCTGCCTTATCCTTCACTGAGGATGTTTTTAAGAGTCACCACTGTATCTGAGGATCATGTGTGGATTAAATCAACCAGAGAAGAAACATTAAGAATCAACAGGAACACAAAGAACGGCGTTTGGGATTTTTAATCCACTGGGTGACCGTGACAAGCTAGCAGAGAGTGCTGTCATAGAAATGGAAAAGTTTCAAGAAGGCATCACACATTGTTAAATACTGCAGGGACATCAAGGATTTGGTCACCACTGGCAGTCTAGAATATTTTCAGTGTAGTAAGTCAGGAGAACCTAAATAGCAATGGATTGCGGGGTGAGTGGGACACTATAAAATGAAGATAACAGTTTGTAGAAGCTGGGATTAAAAGAAAGAATTTAGACTAGTTGGAAAGGGAAGTAGAGACTAGAAATTTTCAGCATAGAGGATCCTTGAGTTTGTGTTTCTCTTGAGGAAAGTGAAGAATAGTAGAGATGAATCAGTTAGCTGACAGAATAGGAAAGATCAACATCCTAGGGGAGACAAGGGAACAGCAAATAACACAGGTCCTCACGTTGACAATGTGAAGGAAAAATGGTGGAAGCCTTTACATTGTGTTGTGTGTGCTTGCTGTATGGTGTGTGCGTGTGCATATTTATGATGGCAGGAAGGTGTTTGAAGTTGTACTTTTGTAAGGTATAACACCAATTTTCTAGGAAGTAGATGAATTCATGTTCTGAGAATGACTTAGAATTTGGGTAGAAGGCTAAAATAATCCAATGACAGAATTTAGAATAGCAGCTAAGGAGAATGGGAGAGGAAGCTGACCCTTAGTCCACTTAAGATGTGGAAAACTTAGGTGTTTTAATTAATTGACTTAAGTATGATGAGATTTGAGAAAATTATTAATTATAATATAGGGCAATCATAATGTTTATGATTGAATTCTGGAACTTTCTTGCCTTGTTTAAATGATAACCTAGCTTTATGATGTAGTGGAGCTTATTAAACTCTGAAGCTTCCTATCTGGAAAAAAAACAAAACCGGGGAGAATGGTAATATGTATCTTGTGGTTGTTTGAAAGATTTGTGATTTGATATTTATAACATGCCTGGAACAGAATCTGACACACAGTATTACACACAAAAAAACCTGAACTGCCACTGAGCCAGGTCCATAGGGTTTCTGAGATTATAAATCTTTACAGAAGTAGAGGAGCTGATACCAAGGGCTCAAGTAGAAAGCAAATGTTTTGAGAATGATGATGGCAACAAATAAATGTATGAATGTGCTTGACACAATGGATGTATGTGTGGATTGTGATAAAAGTTGTACGAGCCCCCAATAAAATGATTAAATAATAAAAAAGAAGTAGAAAAGCCTTCTTCTGCAGGCAGCTAGTTGGTTTTGAACCTCCAGCCTTGTGGTAAATGCTAAGTAAATAAATCTATTGTACATATCATTTCTTTTTAAACATTTTATTGTGAATTGAGTGAAGGGATATAAAACAAATCAATTTTCCATTCAACATTCCATACACATTTTGTTTGGTGTGTTTGATTATAAACCCTGTAATGTAAGATCACTTAACCCATTTCCTCCTGTGTTTCTGGTTTTCATTCCTGCCTCCTTTCCCAACCCTTCTGAGCTTTGCTCTTGCGTATATGCTGCCCTTTTGATCACAAATGGTTAATTAATCTGAGACTCGTACCTATAGTGTTACTGTTCTCCTGAAAGACAACATCTATTGTTTAGCTGAAAATTCAACCATGGGCTCATTTTCAGAACTGAAGGGTGAATAAGGCCATAGTCTCTTGAGTCTTCATTTGAACTTCAATCCTGATCTTTTTGTTAACAATTTTGAGTTTTGTTCCACGTTTTCTTTCACCCTATGCAGTTCTTGATAATGTAATAATCCCTTTCAGAGCAGTTAATAGGGCACCATGTAGTTCTTCTAGTCTCAGGGTTGTGGAGGCTGGCATTCGTGTGGTCCATTAGCCCATTGAAGTAATTATTTCCACATATTTGGACTGAGAGAGGCTAATAGCTGTACCTGGAGTCCTGGCGATATAGTGGTTACGCATTGGGCTGTGACCTGCAAGGTCTGTAGTTCACAACCACCAGCTGCTTCGTGGGAGAAAGACGGGCTTTCTATTCCCGTAAACAGTTGTGGTCTGGGAAACCTGCCGGGGCAATTCTATCCTTACAGGGTCTTAAAGGGTCACTATGAGTTGACTTATAGAGTCACTGTGAGTGAGTTTGAGTTTTTGACTAGTTGTACCATAGACACTTTAAGTCACTTCCAGCTTTTTAGACCCAAGTTGGTGTTTCCCAACATAGCATGAAGTATGTCTTTGTCTTTGACTACTGTTGTGTCAGTTGGCCTTGGTATATACCCTGAGATCATGGTCCTGAGCTCCGCAGACTCAGCAACTCATTCCCTCTAGATGCTTGGTTTTGTCCAAGAGGTTTTCATAATTTTGCCCCCTGTGTTCTTGACGTTCATGAACATATTTGCGACAAAGGTAAATATAAATGCCCAGGTAGAAATATCCGCTATCAGACCTATCTATATTAATAGTTTAGTCCCACCTACTCCCTTCCCTTCCATACCATTCAGTCTGATAACCTATCTGTGCATCTAGGTGCCGATCACACCATTATTGCCAATTTACCAATTCTGTTTTCAGTCATTATCAGATATTTCCCATAGTCGTATAAATTCACCTGTTAAAAGTACACACACACACACACACACACACACAAAGGGGACTTCAGAAAGCTAATGGGAAATCCATCACTTTTTTGTTCTGTTTTCCCAAGAATTTTTTAAGCCCTTAATATGTGTATATGTAAAATTAATATTTGCTAAGTTAACCTCTGTATATTTTATCCCTTAGAGCTGCTTACCATCCAAATTTCCCAACAGTTCTGACCGCATTAGAAATAGATAATGTCGTTGTTGCCAACAGCCTCATTGACATGAGAGGCATAGAGACGGTGCTGCTAATCAAAGTAAGAACCAGATACTTGCTGTTTATCACGTTGCTTTAAAATGTTCAAAGCTAAAGATGGTTACCGTATATACTCAAGTATAAGCTGACCCGAATATCAACCGAAGCACCTAATTTTACCACAAAAACTGCATTAAAAATGTGCTGGAAGACTGGGCTTATACACGAGTATATACTGTACATTCATTTTAATTCTCCTTTTATGTTGTTATGTTTAGTTGAATTTTTACTTCCAAGGGAAATTTATAGAATAGATCTAGAACTGGTTGATTTGTGCTTCTTTTGCCCCATAGAACTTTATAACTTTTTTCCATTCTTCATAAAATAAGTTTTAAAATAACCAAAAGATACCAAAAAAACCCAAGAAACAAAAAATAATGGTTTCCAATGGGATATTATTACACTTTTTGTGTATGGTGCTCTAAATTGTTTCTTAATTGTTTCTTGATTGATTGCCAACTCCATATTTGATTTGCCCTTAAGGAGATATAGTTTGATATTCTCCTTTTCAAAAGAAGCAGTCACTTGCTTTTGCATGGATTCTTTTCTTAATAGTTCTCTGATCAGCATAAATCAATATTTCATGTTTATGTATTTTTATAAATCTGTTTAACTGAGTGTATATGATTTCCTGGCAAACATTTTCTCAGATAGGTTGAAAACGAATCTATATTCAAAACAAACATGGTGAAATCTGCTTCTTCAGTGGAAAGTTAGAAGTAGTGGCATCAATAATCCCAAATATTCTATATTGCAAATTAGCATTATATGAGAAGACTTCAAAAACTTCATGGGGAAATTCCACTAGCCTTTTATCCCATTTTTCCACAAACTTTTGGAAGCCCCCTTGAAATTATTAGTTGTTTGACTCTCATTTTGTAGAAGAGTATTTCAAACAAAATAATGAAATGGTGTGATAATGGCTATGTTAGTCCAGGTTGACTAGAGAAACAAATCCAGAAACACTCATATATATGTAAGAGAGACCTTTATATCAAGAAATAATTATGCATCAACAAGACATCCCAGTCCAGATCAAGTCCTTAAGTCCGATATTAGCTCATACGTCGGATACCAGTCTACGAATTCCTCTTCCAACTCACACAACACATGATGTCGAATGTGGGAAGAGCACAGTCCAGTGGGTGGAAGGTCATGTGAATCCAGTGGTGGTGGAAACATCTCCAGTGCTCTGGCTTCCATCAGCATGGCTCCATGTGGCTTTTCACCAGGAAGGTGTAAAGCAGAGAGTGTGTGTCCCGCCTCCAGGGAGGAAGACAGGAGTTCCCAGAATCCTCAGGAGAAGACCATGCCCACACAGAGGCATCCTTGGCTATATGCTGATTGACAGGCTAGACTCCAACCCTTTGCTCAAGTTGACAGGAGATTTATGTACCGTATCTACTTGTGTATAAGCTGAGTTTTTTTTTCAGCACATTTTTAAGGCAGTTTTTGAGGTAAAATTAGGTGCCTCAGCTGATACTCAGATCGGCTTACACTCGAGTACGTACGGTAACTGCCACAGTGGCCTTTCCCCAGAGTCCTTGACTCTGCTAATTCCCCTTGTACTTTACCCATGGCCTAAGTATTTCCAAGTTTTCCCTATATAATTCAGTGTGCTAATCTTTCATTAGGGTTTTCTATTCATGCTTATCTTTCCTAAGGCATAATAGTAATTTTTAAGAAATAAGATCTGTAAGTTTAGAATTTCTTCTTTAATGTGAAGAATTTAAAAATAAAATTTACCTGTTGGCAAGAAAGATTAAAATTAAAGCATGATTGAATTAAGTTGTTCTAAGGAATATTTTAATTGTATTGAATCTTTGAATCTTGCTGGATATTTTTGAAATTGTTTTATTTAACTATGATGTAATTTCATTTAAATGCTTAAATAAAAATGCTTGAGTTAATATTAATTAAAAATAATAAGAGTTGATCACATCTTGAAATTGTGTGCATCAGAAATAATTTGGCATAAGTTTTAAAATATATTTCCCCCTGTTCCCTTAGAATAACTCTGTAGCGCGTACAGTAATGCAGTCCCAGAAGCCACCTAAAAATTGTAGAGAAGCATTTACTGCTGATGGTGATCAAGTTTTTGCAGGGCGTTATTATTCATCTGAAAATACAAGACCTAAGTTCCTAAGCAAAGATGTGGATTCTGAAATAAGGTTGGCATCAAGTGTTGACTTCACTATATTCCTTTCACTGCTTCAGGGTCCATGCCTTCCACCGTAGCCATTCTTTTGGTAGTTTTTTAAGTGAACAACTGTGACTAATCTAGCTCAGTGTTTGGTAGCCAAAGACCATGTAGTTGGATGTATAACCCTAGACTGACATTTTTCATCATCGCCTTGACTGTATTCTGAGCTGAGTGTTTTAGAACAGCGCCACTCAAATGTGACCTCCACAGTGTTTTACCTGTCCGGAAAAAGATGGGAAATGTAACTCCGCATGTTTATCAGCTGTATACTGGTTAGTTCTTTTGTGGGGAGGGAACAGATGTGCTGGCTTACATTTTGCCTCAAGCTTTCATTTTGCTTGACTGGTACTTTTAAGTTGCATCCTTCTAGAAAGAAGGCAAATTGAATGCAGCTCACTGCTCCACTTCCAATAGCCATCTGTTTGCCTGTCATTTGGGGGCCACCAGGCAACCTGGTGTAAATAAGGGTTTGGCCTCTGGCAGCCCCAGTAGAGAGAATTGGTCCTCTATGTGTTCTCACCCAAGGTTGTATTTATGGGAGCAGACACGCCCTTCCTTTATAAAATAGCATAAAATGTCTCACTTTTGACGTTAATGCTTTATTTCCTGATTCCTCCCCCTCATGCCTTTTTTGAGGGGAATCATTCTCAATTCTGTTTCTGCTTTTAGCTACCTGTGTGCACAGTGCCTGCCACGTGGATGTCATGGCTTAAATACTTGTTAATAAAATAAATAAAACTTCAGGTAAAAGATTATTTTGGAAATTTCTGTATAACACTTTGTTTATAATACCAACAACTTGGCAGGCTTAGAGAACTGGTTCCACTGAATAGGAGTTTACCTATAAATTATTACCAATAAATGTTTTGTTTTGTTTAAATGTCGTTTGTTATGTTTAGAAGTAAATGGAATACATTTTTTTTTAAATCTTTTCCTCTTCACCAAGTCACTTGGAGAATGATGTAGAAAATAAGACTGCCCAGATACAAAATCTTCAGCAACATATGTTTGCTCTCGGAAAGGATATTAAACGCAATGAAGAACTTCTTAGAAGATGCCAACTACATTTGAAAGAGTTAGAGGTAAAATATATATAAATGTTTTTTTGTTTCTCCAATTACCACTTCCAAGTTTCTAAAAAGATTTTGACAGTTAAAGCAGCAGTTTTTAAATTAAATGCTTTGGTCTCAAAGAGTTTTTATTTATGTTGGTTATATCTATCAATGTTTATATTCAAAGTTAAAGTCAAATAATAAAATATTAGTTCATATAAAATAATGATGCTGAATTCCTAGTGCTAATATCAATAATATTTTGATTAGTGACTTTCAAAAATTCTGTTGGCATTTTATAATATTTCATATGTCCATATTTCTTAATGAAATGCAATCCAATTCTCGTCACTTTATGCATTTAGCCTGTGGCGATATTATACATACCGTATATATTCAAATATAAGCTGAGATGAATGTCAGCCAAGGTACCTAATTTTTTTTCCTTTATTTAAAATACTTTTATTGGGGGGGTCTTACATCTCTTATCACAATCCATACATTCCTCCACTGTGTCAAACACATTTGCACATATGCCGCCATCATCCTTTCCAAAGCATGCCCTTCCCACGGGAGCTCTGACATCAGCTCCCCATTTCTCCCCCTCCTTTGCTCGCCCTCCGTGATGAACCCTTGATAAGGTAAAGATTATTTTTTCCATATCTTACATCATCCTCCGTCGCCCCTCACCCACTTTTCTGTTACTCATCCCCTTGGGGGAGGGGGTTCTAGATTGATCCTTGTGATGGATTCCCCCTTTCTCCCCACACCTTCTCTAATCCTCCTCGAATCTCTACTCCTTGTTGGCCCTGAGGGGTTTATTGATACTGGTTTCCCTTATCTGTATGCTCTGGTCTAATCTGATTTGTAAGGCAAAATGGAAGTCATGATAGTGGGGTGAAGGAAGTACCAAAGAGCTAGAGAAAAGTTGTGTGTTTCATTGGTGCTTTACTGCACCCTGACTGGCTCATCTCTTCCCTGTGACCCCTCTGTGAGGGGATGTCCAATTGTCCACAGATGGGCTTTGGGTCTCCACCCCATGCACCTGTCCCCCCACCCCCAATTCACCTGGGTATGGTTTTATTCTGGGTCTTGTATGCCTTTTACCTGATCTGATCGACACCTCATGATCACACTGGCTGGTGTGCTTCTTCCATGTGGGTTTTGTTGCTTCTGAGCTAGATGGCCGCTTGTTTACCTTCAAGCCTTTAAGACCCCAGACGCTATATCTTTTGATAGCCAGGCACCATCAGCTTTCTTCACCATGTCGGATTGTTAGAACAAAGTGTTCTTATGTTAAGGGAGTACTTGAGTTGAGGCCCAAGGTCCATCTGCAACTTTAATTCTTCACATGTAGATGCGAGTGTTTAGTTCTATTCCCCTCATTATATGTATATTTACATGTATACATTCCTGTGTTTAGGCTTCTATAAATGCCCTTTGCCTCCTGGTTCTTTCCTCAATTTGCTTTTTACTTCCCTCTTGCCCCACCATCATGTTCGGCCTTCATTCGCTGCTACATTGCCCTTGATTGAGCCCCACCAGGCATCCTACTCCCTTCTCTCCATGGTTTTTAGTTCACTTGTTGTTCCCTTGTTCTTGGGTTGGTTCCTCCCCCGCCCCCTCCTTTCTCCCACCCCCACTTCTCCCATATCCGCCCAGAACCATGGTCCAGTTTTCACCTCCGAATTATTTATCCCTCCTATCTTATCTAGATAATAATGCAAATACATTAATAAGTGCAAAAACCAGGCAAAGCCAAATAAAACAACCAAGGAAGTCAAAACAATAACAGTAGACAGCAAGAACAAAATAACAGTGACAAAAAGAAAGCCACTGACAGAAATGGAAAAGCCTATACATAGTTAAGTGTCTGTCTGTTGGCCTTTACGAGTGTTTTCCAGTCGAGTTTGATGGGGTGCCACACTCTGTCTCTCATGTCTATTTGTGGTATTCCCCGCGGGTTTCATCAGTGTGCTACCCCTGCTGCTCTGCTGCATGCCCTCAGTGCCTGGCCTCAGCATGATGGGGCCAGACAATGCACTGTATCTTCAGTGCTGTCCCCTGTAGCATCATGGTTCAGTGAGGGACACCGTGTCCCATGGTGGGGCTGGCCCTACATTCCTCCCTGTGCATTCTCTGCTCCGAGCAGGACTGTCATCCTTGGGGCTTGGTGGGCCAGGATGCCCTCTCCTCCCTCTCCATCCCTTTGCTTTTCCTCATGTGGTCTAATTCAACGCACCCCTCCCAGTGCTGTCTTCTGAAGTGCATTCTTCTGAGGGCGGTGATGTCCACCTAGTCGGTATTGGGGCCTGTCCCGCTGACTTCTCTATTGGTTCCCTTGTATTTGCCGGTATGTTGTATTCATGTCTTGGGGCATCAGGTTGAAGCCTGATCTTTCTCTCCTTCTGTGGAGATATAAACAATATCCTCCCATTGGGTGGGTTAGTGCCCTGCTCCCCTCCTACCCATGTCTCTTTTTTCTCCTTCTTTCCCCCTCTTATATAGTTGGCTGCTGTATGTATCCGTGGGTTGGGTTTGGCCCCTGCCATAGTTGTTGGACCTCACCCCAGGGATGCATGTATATAGTAGCTTTTCCCCAAACCCGGTTTTATTTTTTTAAAACTTATCTCAGTGGACTCATGTTGTACTTGTCCTTTTGTGCTTGACTTACTTCACTTAGCATGATTTCCTTCAGTTCTTCCCATACGGAGATGTGCTTCATGTGTCCATTACGGCATTTTAGGGACGTGTAGTACTCCATTGTATGTATGTACCACAGTTTTCTGATCCATTCGTCCGTTGATGGAAATTTGGGTTGTTTCCAACTCCTTGCAATTGTGAACTGTACCTCGATGAACATTGGAGCACAGATATCTGGCCGTGGTTTGTTTCTTGCCTCTTCTGTGTATATGCCCAGTCAGGGGATTGCTGAGTCGTATGGTAGTTCAATCTCCATCTGTTTTGGAAATCGCCAAATCAATTTCCACAGTGGTTCTACATACCTACCGGCCCACCAGCAGTGGATGAGAGTACCTATCTCTCCACAGCCCCTCCAACACTTGTTACTTTCTGACATTTTGAATTGGGCTATCTTTGAGGATGTAAGGTGGTATCTCATCGTTATTTTAATTTGCATTTCTTTTCTAGCAAATGATTGGGAACATTTTCTCATATGTTTGTTGGCCATTCAGATTTCTGCCCCTTTGAAACTTCTGTTCAGGTCCTTTGCCCACCTCCTCAGTAGGCAGTTAGTTTTCTTCTGATTATCAGCTTGCAAAGTATGGTAGATTTTAGTAATAAGGCCTTTGTCTGATGTGTCATTGCTAAAGATGTTTTCCCAGTCGGTGGGCTCTCTTACTACTCTCTTGGTGAATTATTTCTGTGTACACAGGTGATTTATCTTCAGTATATCTCACTTGTCAATTTGTGAC